TGGCTGCACTTCTTCCAAAACGGATCTCTTGGGTTCTTTTGGCAGCCCATGGCACTTTTAGTATTCTCCAACACCATAACTCAAAGGCATCAATTCTTCTGTGGTTTCCTTATTCACTGTCCAATTTACACATACATATGAGGTTATTGAAAATACCATGGCTTGGGTCAAGTGCACCTTAGTCCTCAAACTGACTTCTTTGTTCTTCAACACTTTAAAAAGGTCTTGTGCAGCAGATTTGCCTAATGTAATACGTCGTTTGATTTCTTGACTGCTGCTTCCTTGAGTGTTGATAGTTGATCCAAGAAAAATGAAGTCCTTGACAACTTCAATCTTTTCTCCGTTGATAAGAATGTTGTTTATTGGTCCAGAGGTGAGGATTTTTGTTTTCTTTACATTGAGCTGCAAGCCATACTGAAGGCTGTGCTCTTTGATCTTCATTAGTAAATGCTTTAAATCCTCTTCACTTTCATCAAGAAAGGTTGTATCATTTGCATATTGCAGATTGTTAATGAGTCTTCCTCCAATCCTGATGTTACGTTTTTCTTCATATAACCCAGCTTCTTGGAATATTTGCTCAGCATATAGGTTGAATAAGTATGATGAAAGAATACAACCTTGTTGTACACCTTTCTTAATTTTAGACCATTCAATGTTCCCATGTTCTGTTCCAACAACTGCCTCTTGGTCCATGTACAGATTCCTTATGAGCACAGTTAAGTGTTCAGGAATACTCATACTTCGCAATGTTGTCCATAGCTTGTCATGATCCACACAATCGAAAGTCTTTGCAAAGTCAATAAAGCACAGGTAAACATCTCTCTGATATCTCTGCTTTCAGCCAACATCCATTGGACATCAGCAATGATATCCTTCATTCCATGGCCTCTTCTGAATCCGGCTTGAACCTCTGGAAGTTCTCTGTCAATGTATGCTTGCAGCCGTTTCTGTATTACCTTGAGTAAAACATTAGTCGCAAGGGATATCAGAGAGATTGTCCGATGATTTCCGCATTCCATTGGGTCACCTCTCTTTGGAGTGGGCACAAATATGGATCTCTTCCAATCAGTCAGCCAGATAGTTGTCTTCCAGATTTCTTGGCAGAGATGAGTGAGTGACTCCTGTGCCACTTCACTTTCTTGAAAGATTTCAATTTTTATTCTATCAATTCCTGGTGCCTTGTTCTTTGCCAATTTCTTCAATGCATCTTGGACTTCCTCCTTCAGTATCATATGCTATCTCTTGAAATGTTTGAACATTAGCCATTTCCTTTGGTACAGTGACTCTGTGTATTCCTTCCATCTTCTCTTGATGCTTTCTGCATCATTCCATAATTTGTCCAGAGAATCTTTCAATAACACAAGTCGAGGCTTGATTTTTTTTCTTCAGTTCCCTTAGCTTGAGAAATGCTGACAGTGTTCTTCCTTCTTGGTTTTCTGATTCCAGATCTTTGCACATTTTGTTGTAATATTTAGCTGAATCTTCTCAAGCCCAAATTTGAAATTTTCTGCTCAGCTTTTGTACCTCCTCATTTCTTCCATTTGCTTTAGCATCTCTACGCTGGAGAGCAAGTGTCAGTGTCTTTTCTGACATCCATTTTGACCTTTTCCTTCTTTCTTGTCTTCTCAATGACTTTTTACTTTCTTAATGTATGATGTTCTTGATGTCATCCCACAATTCTTCTAGTCTTTGGTCTTTAGTGTTTAATGTATCAAATCTGTTCTTCAGATAATCTCTAAATTCAGGTGGGGTATATTCAAGGTCATATTTTGCATACAGTGGAGTTGTTTTCATTTTCTTCAGTTTCAGTTTGAATTTGCATATGAGTAATTAATGGTCCGTTCCACAGTCTGCCCTTGGCCTTGTTTTCACTGATGACATGGAGCTTTTCCATCGTCTCTTCCCGCAGATGTAGTCAATTTTATTTCTATGTATTCTATCTGGTGGGGTCCATGTGTTTAGTCATCTCTTATGCTGTCTAAAGAAGGGATGCTTGCAGCCGTTTCTGTATTACCTTGAGTAAAACATTAGTTCGCAAGGGATATCAAAGAGATTGTCCGATGATTTCCGCATTCCATTTGAAATGAACAAATCATTGGTTTTGCAGAATTCTATCATGAGATCTCCAGCATCATTTCTATCACCAAGGCCATATTTTCCAACTACTGATCCTTCCTCTTTGTTCCCAACCTTTGCATTCCATTCACCAGTAATGATCACTACATCTTTATTGCATGTTTGATCAATTTCAGATTGAAAAAGTTGGTAGAATTCTTCTTGTATTTCATCCTAACTGGCTTTATTGGTTGGTGCGTAAATTTGAATAATAGTGGTATTAACTGGGCTTCCCTGTAGGCACATGGATATTATCCTATCACAGACAGCATTGTACGTCATGCTGATCTGGATATGTTCCTTTTGACAATGAATGCAACACCTTTCTTCTTCAAGTTGTCATTCCCGGCATTGTAAACCTTGTGGTTGTCAGATTCAAAATGGCCAATACCAGTCCATTTCAGCTCACTAATGCCTAAGATATCGATGTTTATGCCTTTCATTTCATTTTTGACAACTTCCAATTTTCCCAGATTCATACTTTGTATATTCCATGTTCTGATTTTCAATGGATATTTACATCTGTTTCTCTTCATTTTGAGTTGTGGCCCGTCAGCAAATGAAGGTCCTATGGGCTTTTCACCCACAGGCTTTACTCCATTCGCGTCATCACGGTCAAGTCTACTTTGAGGAGGCAGCTCTTCCCCAGTTGCATTTTGGGTGCCTTCTAACCTGAGGGGCTCATTATCTGTTACTATATCTGACAGTGTTTCTCTGATATTCATAAGGTTTTCAGTGACTAAATATTTGGAAGTAGTTCGTCACTCCTTCTTCTTCCTAGTCTGTCTTCGTCTGGAAGCTCATCTGAAACCTGTCCACCATGGGTGTCCCTGCTGGTATTTAAAATACCGGCGGCAACAGCTTTCAAAGCCACAGCAACTCACAAGCCACCACAGTACAACAAACTGACAGATGATGGGTAGGAATAGGTATATATTGGGGTTAGTTCAAAGCTTGCTATAAAACCACAGAACCCTCTATTAAATAAAAATATAAAAATGTCATGCTATTGTTTCTCGACATACCCTCCCCATCTAAGCCTATAAACCTTTAAAGTTGGTGTTTGCAATTCTCGAACTTTTCCCTGAAAAACTGTGTACCCTTTGACTTATTTGCTATCAAATGACAGTCCCTCAGGCATCAAAAATTCCTCAGTGCAACTATCCTGGCCTTTTTCACACCAATGCAGTTTTCAATTTTCTTAAAAATGTACTTCTTCATAAGCCTGTGATCAATCTGTGTTCTCTGAGATAATCAAAGATCATGCACTGGGAATCCTAAAAGTCAGTTGCCATTACCCTCTGAGTTGACCTCTCTGAATTTAACTGGCCCAGCTGATCCCCTTGGAAGTCATTGCTGGACTTTTTTGAAGGGCACCCTAACAACTGTTTTACTGAAAGAACTTGTCTGCAGCCCTCCACTGACCAGAGACAAGTTTAAGCATGCTTCATTTATAATAAACACATGTATATGAACTAGAAACCTATTAGTTATACTTTTTGACTTATCCTTATGTTAATATATGGCATGCAGATTAAAAGTATAAAAAGGCACACTCACATAATAACCAAAATAGATTATTTATTTCATAACTTAAAACAATAAAGTTATTTCACATAAAAAAATACAACAGCAAAATATAATGTTCTTTCTACCTTCTAAGGAAAGGGACATTAAAAAATGCTGTAAATTACAATAACTATACTTCTTAGACCTAACAAATTTCCACATCTCACATTTCACCAAGATGTAGTTCAATTTTCCTTTTAAATAAAATACCCTACTTTTCTAGCAATGTAAAATATACTCTAGATTTCAAAGGTGTAGTATGCATAAAAGAATGCATAAATATCAATTCTATATTGACAATATTTTAGCTATATTGGATAACAAAATATATTAATAAATTATTTTCACATGTTTCTTTTTACCTTTTTAAATGTAGCTACTTTTGTAGCTCACATTATATTCCTCTTAGTGCTGCATTAGAACATTTAAAAACAAAGCAGCTGTAACTTTAACTTACATAAACATTTAGAATTTTATACTTATTATCCTGCCTTTGAAAATGGGAAATGGAAAAGAAATAACATTCCAGCTACTTTAATACATGTCTGTAATTTTTCTAATGGACACATATTAGTTTTCCAACAGAGAGAAGAAAAGTATCATTGAATTCTAGTTGTAATTTTCAAACGTACCAAAAGTGTAGGACTGGCATTTAAAATACGTAGCTTAAATAATATGCCACATTTTAAATTAAGATGATAAACAATGGATAAACTAAATTTCCATATTATTTTTGAGCTACATATTTTTACCTAGTAACAGGTACAAGAACCTAGAGAAAGGAAATTGGAAGAAACCAAGAATATTCCCAGTCTACCTGCAGAGAATTCTTATCTAAATTATAGAAGAAGTTCTACCACTCAGTTGACAGTGTGATTGCCCAGAAACTGTGTCCATCTTCTGCTGTGCATTTCCATGAGGGGCAGCAGTTACTTTTCTACTTTTCTTAGAAAACTAAGAATACATCCTTGTTCATTAATAATTCGACATGCAGTGTGGGAGATTTCCTTTCTTTTCATTTCTATCAGGTGAATAATGCATTTTGCAATAAATATCACTAGTTATTATCATTTGACACAAAGGGTCTTGCCCACAAATTACTCAAAATGTGAATGGTTAATGCTTTTCAGTAAAATACGTCATGGTGCTTTTTTTCTCTTATTAGTTAAGGTTAATTTATTTTGACGTATTGCTTTTGCATGGCTTGGTTTGCTTCCTGGAAACAGAAAGGCGCAGTTACTCTGAAAACCTCTTGGTTGTGGCCCAGTCCCATGTATCTTCAGTCCTTTTAATGAGGTCCTATGAAGTCAAAATTTCTAGTAATACTCTGGTGCACTAGCTTCTTCTGGTAAAGCAACCGGAACGACGACTCCCTGTCGGTGCAGCTCTCGAAGAACATCTAATATTGAGTCTAATTCTGTGCGAAACTTGTCCAGTTCTCGATTCTTTAACTGTGCAAGTCTTTTCCATTTCTCAATTTCTTTGTTTTGCTCAGTTTCTACTACTTGACGTGTTTGCTGTATTATCTGCAAATCAAAAAATTCTACATTACTAATATTGTTCTTATTGTCGATGAAAAATAGTTCTCAATCTCAAAGAACTAAAGTGTGACAAAACTCCAAGTAGGAAGGAAGGGAGAGCAGAAGCCTTACCTAACAAGCCCGATTTTCTTTATCAAGCAAGCAGGCAGGTAAGAAGTGGGAAATTTAGAATCTAAGTCTTAGACCAAATTTTAGAGTTAATATTTTAAACCACGTGACTAAAACTAATAGTATCATTTAAAACATCAGCAATTTCTAATACCAGGGTAGGAATTTGAACCTCTAAAGAATGTTGTTCCCCTTAAGATAGCAATTGATGTGCAATTAAGACAAAAGCTGGAAACTGTACTGCAGAAACATTTCAGAAAAGGGAAAATTCAATTTTTTTTCATTAACAAAGAGTGACAGCAAAGTGTGAACAGTGCACATGTTAAAGATGAAGAACTTGTAACACCTGGATAAACAACGCAGTTCCACCCAGTTCTGGCTTTCACATTTTCACTGTAACATATGCCATTAACTAATCCTGTATCATAGCATTAGAAACAACAATATTAAATAGATAGAGCATCCAACAAGAGCCAGACCCTGCTTAAACATTGTACATAAGGTAACTCATTTAATACTGCCAACACACTAGGAGGTAAGTGCTACACTTTCCACATTTAACACATAAGGAAATGGAGACACTAAAGCCAACTCTTCCACTGCTCTGACTCATGGTGACCTTTTACAGCAGAATAGGACTGCTCCATAGGGTCTGTAAGGTGGCAAACCTTTACAGATGCAGAATGCCATATTTTCTTCCCATGGAAGACAAGCACTTTAACTAGTGCATCACTAATGCTTCATTTTCAGTACATTCTTGTTGTTAAGCGCCATCGAGTCGGTTCAGACTCACAGTGACCCTGTGTAGGGTTTCCGAGGAGTGGCTGACGGGTTTGAGCTACTGACCTTGCAGTTCAAAGGGACTCTGTGGTCTAGTGCTATATGCTACAGCATCACACCACTTCAATGAATACATAAATATAATTTATTAGTCACATTTGTTTATAACAATGACTATAAAATAACGATTAGTAAAATGGCTATAATGTAGCATGTGCCTATAGAATCATTAGGATGCAATTCTTAAACGTAGTTATTGACAAATGAGAAGAACTTTCTAAAATAAGGATGTTGAAGTGGCACTTATGGTTCTGGTGAAATGGAGGTACACTAAGATGCCTTAATTCTACTATGGTTGATGGTCTCCTAGTATATATTTTTCAAAGAATTTTACAAACTAAAGTTTAAGATTAAGAATGGAACATCAGTTATTTTCATCTTTGTACTCCACATGGCATATTTCTTAGCTCCTATATTGATAATGAACTGGACTGCACAGTCTGTTTGAACCACCAAGTTGGAGGTTCAAACTCACTAGCTGCTCCTAGGAAACTCTATACAGAATCGCTGAGTCGGAACCAACTTGATGGCACTTAACTACAACAATGATAATACTATGCTAGCATCTTGATATCATTAAATAGAACTGGTGTTTCTCTGTGGAACTCAGGGCAACACTAAAGCTTTGCAATGCTATAATATTTTCACCATTAAAATCATTTAACTTTACACTACTTAAGCAAAGCTAAATATCAGCATTAAGGTAATAGCCTAATAACACATCATAATCTTACTTTTGGCATGTAAACATCTATTCTTTTATGTTTGTAACAAACTGTACTAATCATGATATTATTGGTGCCAGATATATATTGTTGTTAAGTGCCGCCAAGTTAGTTCTGACCCATATCAACCCTGTATAGGGTTTCTAAGGAGCAGCTAGTGACTTTGAACTTCTGACCTTGCTGTTCAAACTGACTTTGTAGTCTAGCACATTAACTCGCAGTACCACACCAGGGCTCCATATATATATTAGACATGATCATATTCTAATAAAAAATATTTCTTATAGACATTTATTGAAATGACTTAAATATGGGACAATGTTCTCAAAAGGGTTCCAAGAACAAACATGTATACATTTTAAGTATCTCTTAATAATTCAGAATATGATACAACTTGGGTGTTTATTTCTCCGGATATAAGACAACCCAATCATCAGGTATTTGAAACTTGGTCATTTTTATCTAGAAGCTATAAATTAACAAGATAAAAATACAGTGGAGACACTTTAAGAAATAACTTTTGTTAGCAATTTAAACCCACCAGCTGCTACTCAGAAATCCTATGTAGGGTTGTATATAATGGAACAGACTCGATGTCACTAAATAACACTAATTGTTGTTGTTGTTGTTGTTAAGTGCCGTTGAGTCGGTTCCGACCCATAGCGACCCTGTACAGGGTTTCCGAGGGTGTAAATCTTTACGGGAGTAGAAAGCCTCATCTTTCTCCCGCGGAGCAGCTGGTAGTTTCAAACCGCTGACCTTAAGGTTCGCAGCCCGATTCGTAACCACTACGCTACCAGAGAGCTCCATAAACAACACTAATAGAGATTACAAAACCAAATAAAAAATTAAATCAAATCCAAACCCACTGTCACTGAGTCCTACCAACTGTATATAGGGTTACTGACACTATAAATCTTTGTGGGAGCAAACAGCCTCATCTCTTTCTCCTGAGGAGCAGCTGGTGGGTTTGAACTGCTGACTTTGAAACCCACTGCAATGGAGTTGATTCCGATTCAGTGACCCTGTAAAACAGACTGGAACTGCACCATAAGGTAAGGCTGTAAAATTTTACAGAAACAAACTGTGACATCTTTCTCCCATGGAGTGGCTGGTGGGTTTGAGCCCCTGACTCATTCGTTAGCAGTAGAGTACCTTAACAATTGTGCCACCAGGGTTCCCTTAAAGTACTACACAAACATGTAAATGTGCTTTACTACTTTACCTGTTGTAGCTCCTGCTCTCTTTGCTCATGCCTCATTTCCATCTGTTTAATTTTCTTTTCTAAGCCTGTGAAATGTTTCATCTCTGGTGTATGGTTTTCTTTGGCTTCTCTCAATTCTTCTAAGAGTTTTGTAACCTAAAATTGAGGGCATTATGTAAATGAAAACTAAATAGAAAAAGGGAAATAATTTTTTAAAGAGGCAGGCTTATAAAACAGGCACATTCAGTATCTTCTTTACTAAATTTCTCTAATAGCAATTAAGAGGTATCTTAATAGCAAGTATACCTGGGCTGTTAAGAGTAATTTTAATCGCTTTCATCCCTTCTGCCCAGGATATAAAGGCTAATCCTAACTTCAAGGTTCTAAATGACAGGACCACTTTCTCCCTCCCATGGATGACAAGTAATTAGGCACATAAAGAAGTTAGGCAGTAAAGTAATTATATTTAGGATTAAATGGGAATGCATTTAAAGCACCTGGCACAGTACAGCATATAACACAGAAAAAGAGCTCATTATATACTGTTGTTGTTGTTATGTGACGTGGAGTTGGTTCCAACTCATAGCGACCCTGTACAGGATTTCCGAGGCTGTAAATCTTTACAGGAGCAGAAAGCCTCATCTTTCTCCCGTGGACAGCTGGCAGTTTCGAACTGCTGACCTTGAGGTTAGCAACCTAATTCGTAACCACTATACTACCAGAGCTCCTTTAAATATATATTGTTCTTGTTACGTGCCATGGAGTCAGTTCCAACTTATAGCGACCCTGTACAGGGTTTCCGAGGCTGTAAATCTTTACAGGAGCAGAAAGCCTCATCTTTCTCCTGCGGAACAGCTGGTAGTTTCGAACTCCTGACCTTAAGGTTCGCAACCTGATTCGCAACCACTACACTTATATAGATCCCGGTAATTATAGTTGTAATTTTCTTATGGCCCTTAATATGTTGTGCATCATAGAAGTTGCACCACAAATGAAAACACCTACGTAGAGATAATCGAGTACTGAGTTCTTTTGTGTTGTCTTAGGTTCTACCTGCATGACAGGTTTCCTGGTTACTTTGCTGGGAGGAATGGCTAGTGATCGTGTGCACTTCATCTGGATCGATCTTGATACTAAGTGTGTCTAACACTGAAGAAGATACTGCCCGTAGCCTTTTCAACAGACATTCCCTCCACTGCTGGCAAGGCCCTGACATCATTCAGGCATTCATGTGACTCAGGGTTAAATTCTGATCAGTTGAAATTCAATACAGTTGTCCAGCTTCCCCTGCCACTGATTGCTTTAGAGGTGGCCATGTGAACTAATTTTGATGCTGCAAAGGAAGCTTAGCTGGGAGACATTATAACAAATACTTTAAGAAATAATATTCAACAGCTCCTAACTTGATAAAAACGATAAATTCAGGATGTAAGAAGCTCAGTAAACTCTGAACATAAGAAACAAAACCACATTGTGGTATAAGATACTAAAATTGCTAAAATCTAGCTATAAATAGAAAATCATCTTAAAAGCAGCCTAATTAACCAGAGAGAAAAGGAACATGTTAAGAGAGGGGCTTCAAAAACATTGTGGAAGATTCCATTGTGTTTTAACTCCATTGTTGCACAAACTTTGAAATACCTTGGTATAGAGGAATGAGAAAAGAATTAGAAAAGATTTCTTGTCAGAAACTATGAAAGCCAGAAGGCAACAACAAAGTGACATCTTTAGAGTACTGACAAAAACCAAACGAAAACAAAAACACCATAAACTGACAACCTAAAATTCTATACCTAGTGAAAAGCTATTTCAAAAAAGAGAAAATATTTTCAGACAAACAAAAACTGAGACTGTTCTCTACCAGCAAATCCACACAAAAAGCATTAAAGAAGTTTTTGAGATAGAAGAAAAATTGTAACAGAAATTTGGATCTGCACAAAGGAACAAAATATCTGAAGTGGTAAATATGTGGGTATTTAGAAAAGATGATTTTCTAATTTTTTAAACTTTAAAAAAATATTTTAACATTTAAAGCAAAACGATGACGTATTGTGGGGCTTAGAACATATTTATAGGAGTAAACTGCATGACAACAATAGCACAAAGCACATGAAAGGAAAAACAGAAGCATACTGCCATAGGTTCATCTACTACACATGAAGTGATACGATATTTGATGTACAGACTGTGATAAGTTAAAGATATATATTACAAAACCTAAATCAATCACAAAAAAACAACAACCAAGAAAGATACAGCTAATAAGGCAATGTTGGTGTTTTAAGTACCATTTAATTAGTTTCAACTCATACTGACTCTGTATAGGGTTTCCAAGGAGCGGTTGGTGGGATTGAACCACTGGCCTTGTGGTTTGTAGTTCAGTGCTTAGCCTACAGCACCACACCAGCACTCCAATAAGCCAATAGTGGAAACAAGTTACAATGTAACTAAATTAATCAATAACACGAAATGTAAATACTTTAAATTAGAAGGGAGATTGTCATTACCTTTATTCAAGAGACTGAATCAGTTTTCCGGTAGTGTAACGGTTATGAATCGGGCTGCTAACCTCAGGGTCAGCAGTTCGAAACTACCAGCTGTTCTGCAGGAGAAAGATGAGGTTTTCTGTTCCCGTAAAGATTTACAGACTCAGAAACCTTGTACAGGGTCACTATGAGTCAGAACCAAATCCATGGCACATAACACAACAACAGGCTTAAATACCAATGCAGAATCAAATAGACCTTAAGATAATAAAATTTCCAGAAAGACCTACTTTCTGTAATGGTCTCATTATTGTTGATCCAGTCATGGTTACTTTACCCATTTCTTAACCAAATTAAGCAATATTAAGACTTAATGCAGAAATGGCATAGAATTTACTGTCTAAAAACTCAAACAAGAATCAGTTGCTTCCTGTCATTTTTTATGGGCACGGGGAAATGCAAATATAACAATTTCCCATTAACATTAGATATCAAATACAAACAAAAAATTTCCAATTGATATTTGAGTTTCATCTTGGGAAGGCAGATTTTCCTTAAATGAGTTATTAATTAATATATGGTTGATAATTCAGTTCGTTCTTACCTCATTCTGTAGGATTTCTTCTCGAACTTGAGAAACTACCAGAGATTCTTGCTTACCCTGTAGCTCATTAACTTGATTTTGAAAATGTTTTATAAGTACCTAGAAAATTGGAAGAACAGAGTTAAAGGAAATCTTCCTTTGAAGAAAATTTCCTTATGTGAAAGACAGAATAAAGTCAACTGATTGGTTTGATTAGTACTAACGAAAAAAATAAATAAAATAAATCTTGATATAATATAAACCATTCAAATTCTAATAGAAATAATTGCCACAGGAATCAAGTTCACTGAACGGATTATTTTAAGTTTTGTCTAATACTTAAAAACAAAATCCATTCATGAAAATTAATGATTGAAAATACTTGGCCTCTTTATCTACAGTACTGTGCTTCTGAAGGCCTGGGAAATATCTTTTTAAATAAACTGCAACACAGTCTAAGCTACCACTTGTCTGACAGTTTGTCATACTCAGCTGGCTTACATGTGGCTGTGATGCCGGGGGGCGATGGCACTGGTATTTCAAATACAAGCAAGGACACCTCTGGTGGACACATTTCAGCAGAGCTGCCAGAGTGAGATAGAGTAGAAAGGATGGCCTGGTGGTCAGTGATCTACTTCTGAAAAAATTGGCCAGTGAAAACTTTAGGAATAGTAGTGGTACACAGTCTGAAGTAGTAACAGAAGACAGCTTGGCCCTTCATGTTGGAAGGCATTCAAAATATGACTAGGGAAGAGCTGTCTCCTTAAAGTTGTTAGGTGCCATCAAGTCGGTTGTGACTCAAGTGACCTTATGCACAACAGAATGAAACATTGCTGGTCCTATGGTATCCTCACAACTGTTGTTACGTCTGAGCCTACTGCTGCTGCTACTGTGTCAATCCACCTCATTGGGGTGTGGGGAGGAGTCTTCCTCTTTTTCACAGACCCTTCACTTTACCAAGCATGATGTCCTTTTCCAGGGATTGGGTCCTCCTGACAAATGTTCTAACCGTGAGTAACAACGTCTGTCCACCTGGCTTCTATGGAGCATTCCTGGCTGTAGTTCTTCCAACACAGATCTGTTTGTTCTTCTGGCAGTCCACGGGACTTATAATATTCTTCTCCAACACCATAACTCAAATGCATCGATTCTTCTATGGTCTTCCTTATTATTCATTGTCCAACCTTCACATGCATATGAGGTGATTGCAAATCCCACGAATTAGGTCAGGCAAACCTCAGTCCTCAAACTGACATCTTTGCTCTTCAACACTTTAAAGAGGTCTTGTGCAGCAGATCTGCCTAATGCAGCATGCTGCTTGATTTCTTGACTGCTGCTTCCATGACTGTTGACTATGGAGCCAACCTAAATGAAGTCTTTGACAGTTTCAATCTTTCCTCCTTTTATCAAGGATCAGCTGGTAGGCTTAAACTGCTGACCTTGTGTTAGCAGTTCAGAGCTTATCCTACAGTGCCACACCAGGTTGTTGTTGTTGTTGTTAAGTGCCACTGAGACGGTTCTGACCCATAGTGACCCTGTACAGGGTTTCCAAGGAGCGGCTGGTGTGCTTGAATCGCCACCTTGAGGTTCAAACTGACTTTGCAGTCTAGTACATTAACCCAAGCGCCACACTCTCTTCATTATTTTATCCCAGTGCCTGAAGGCTATAAACCCTGAGTCATTATTGTCTTAATGAATGAAAGGTAATGGAACAGGAAGAATGAAGGTAATTACTTGTTGATTAGGACTGGAGGTGGGTGGGAAATAGGTAAATATCCAGAAGTTCAACTACTGAAGTTCCAATCTTTCTTCCCCTACTTGAGAAATGTAGGGATAAAACTGTACAAGTACTTACTTATGGGCATCATTTTAAAACAGATTATTAAATATATGTTCCTTGTGTAGCGCTGTGGTTTAATGCACTGGACTGCAAAGTCTGTTTGAATCACAAGGTCAGCGGTTCAAGCTCACCAGCCGCTCCCTGAAAACCCTATACAGGGTTGCTATGGGTCAGAAATGACTCAATGGTACTTAATAACAACAACAACATCCTCTTCTATAAAATATGTAACAAGAATAACTTGCCATTTTTATCATCAACCTGAAAAGGTCAAGTTAAAATGATTTCTAAATTAAATAATGCTCTGTTAATAGCCCTGAAAAAGATAGGACATATGTTAAAGCCAAAAAGAGATCAAAACAAAGTTTGTCATCTACCTCTTGAGTTGTTATTTTACGATTTAGTTCAGCTACTTTGGAAGTAGAGTTTTCTATTGCATTTTGGCAAAGCAGTTTCTCTACTTCTCTCTGATGAGACGCTTTAAGGGATGCAATGTGAGCTGTGTTATCTTCCTTAATCCTATGGAGCAAATGAAAGAAAACCAACACATATAAAACTGGCTCTTGAGCCTCAATAAAAAAGTATAAAACATCTGGAAATTAGAGAAGCAAAGCAATGACGACACCAATATTTACTGCACTGCACTAAGTACTTTATACACAATTGCATCTGAATTCTCACAGCTGCTCTGCGAGTTTACTTTTGTCATTAGGAGCAAGCTTGAATTCAGAAAAACCTATCTATGACCCTAAACCAGTGAGTTGCAGAGCTGGGCCTCAAAGCCCAGGCCTTGCACACTAACACCTGTCTGGAGCTACACTGTGCTGTTTGAAATAAAACGAATCCCATGACATTTTATCTTTTAAGAGAAACTCAGCTGTCCAAATTATTACTTGGCTAATCTTACTTACTTAGATAACAATACGTAGATAAATCACAGATGTTCCCTTTGGAACTAATGCTTTGTCTCTAGGCTGCATTTACCAGTTTTTTGATCCATGCATATGCCCCAGCTGCATAAAATAATCTGTATAGTAATTGTTACCACACAGGCTAACCTGCATTTCATTAATTTGGAGTTTAAGTCTCTGTGACAAACTATATGCATTCAGAAGTAGCTCAGTAAATGGTAAGGTTATAATTAGAGTTATACATTTCTTATAGATACACAACATTTTCTCTTAAAGCAAATATTCAATAAGACACTGTTGATGCATACTAATATGGCGATTCTCAAACTGTAAACAACAGCTTATTTGACTATATGAATATTTCTTCCTGGACACAGTGTGATCAGGTCCCTGGGGAAAGAATAAATGTCTACAGTAACCATGATGTCACTGAATTACATTAAAAAAAAAGCAGCCTAAATCTGGACCAGAAAAGTCTAGTCCTTACTTGTCAGACCCAGAGGTATGTATGTAGGAAACAGATAAACAACATTAGGATATTTTAAATTATGTATAGGAAAATTTATGGGAAACCAAGAATTTAAAAATATTTCGTGAAAAGAATAGGATTTTCTTTAAATAGCTTAATTACTACTATAGTATTCAGGGCTTAAAAAAAAAGGTTTCAACTTGGAAGCAATCTGGGTGCCATGATGGCTCAATCCAGGGACATGGCTGACAGTATCTGTCAGGTGTTTCCTATGCTCATTCTGTTCCTACATCAGGTTGCTGTCGGGACACAAAAGAAGTACATCAGCTCTCAAGTAGCTAAGCTGGTGTATAGATTCATGCTAACTTAGCACAAATTCTAACTTGTATAGGAGGTCAAAGTGGCAGCAGGCCATTTCCTGGGTACTTCTAGGAAAAGTTTTGTGAATAAAGTAGGAGTTGAAACAAATGAACAAAAGGAAGTTAGGAAATCATGCAGTGATAGTGCAGTACTAGAGAGGATTTGAAGTACCAGGAAGAGAAACTGAAGCCTGACAGTGTAATAGATCTGGGAGTGTGTGGAGGACAGAGTGACATAGATAAGAGAGTATTTAGCAGTCCTGGTGTGGTGCTGCAAGATAATGTGCTGGACTGGTTTGAACCGCAAGGTCAGTGGTTCAAGCTGACCAGCTGTTCCTTGAAAATCCTATACAGGGTTGCTATGAGTCAGAACCGAGTCGACAGCACTTAACACCACCACCAAAACCAATGTTTTTTTGAAAGATGATTGAGAAAGACAGAAATGAAAAGTCTTGGAGATGATGAAAATTATGCAGTAAACCTGGTAGGTGGTACTGGTTTACTACACTAAAGATGAAGGAAACAAGAAACATTTGTATGGAAGCACGTATTGGCTACAAAGCCAGGAAACAAAGGAAGTAAAAGCAGGATCTCAAAATTGGAGAAAAAAATGATTATAGGCAAAATGAGGAAGTTGAGAAAGGGAATTTGTTTAGAATTAAAGTGAAATAAAATTTGAGGTACTGTTGATTTTAAGAGGTTCAATCCAATAAATAGTTGAAGGTCTGTATCTGAGCTCAAGGAAGAAAACAAACTGAAAAGTACATTCTGGAGTCCTGGTTCATAAAAGGATGCATGAGATTTTCAATGGAAAAAGAACAAACGAAAACCAGAAAGCCAAGGCTTGAACCTTAGTAAAGAAGATTTTTAGGGCCGGTGAATGAAGAAGAGTTAGAAGAATCAGGAAAGTCCTGGCAGAGCCGTCAAGTCCTGGAGGTTAAGGGAGGAAATCATTTCAGGAAGAGCAATGTAGTCAACACTATATCAAGGAAAACGAGGATGGAGAAAACTCCACTGGACGGCGCAAGGCCATTACTGAGAGACAGGTTTATAAGAGTGGTGAGTATGAATGTCATATTTAGGAGGTGGAAACAAAAGAGGCTACTTGTGGAAAACTGGCACTGAAAATCAGAATGAAGACTTGAACTTGGTTTGATTAAGTGAAAGAAAGATCTGAAGATGCTAGAAGGCTCAGGAGAGTGAGACAGGTTAGTATTGGAAGATTCTGAGAAGGAAAGGCATGAAAGGATATGCTTGAAAGATAAGTTTGAAGTTTTTTTAGAAAAGAGAAGAGCCATTTCTTCTTAGATTGTCACCTAGTTTTATTAGTAGCGGTTGTCTGACAGCAATCTGCCTGGATACCTGAATTAAAACTTACTTTACAGATATCACTTGGTGATATTCCTTTGTAAGAAAGACCCAATGGGTCCATTTATTAACACCACTTGGATTCATCCAGAAAGACAGCCTAAGGATACAGTTTGGATCGAAATGGACATTTAAGTTCACCAGTCTGGTGCCTCTTAACCTGAAACAGATCTATGCCTAACAATGAAATGTAATTTCTCAAAATTCACTTATGAATGCAGTTCAGGGTCAAACTAACTATCCAGATGGCGTATATCTAACAGTTTTTCAATTTCGTTTTATGCCCCCCAGATCTTTATAAATATTGTTTAACATTTTACCTTTTCATGGAATTTTCAAACTGATTCGATGCTGCTTCAGATTTCATCTTTAGCTCATTCCTCTCCAAAGTTACTCTCTGTAGTTCATTTTTCAGTCTGAAGTTTTCTTGTAAAACCTCTGATGTATGGGAGTCGGTAAAAGTATGTGGTTGGTAAAGCTTGCCATCCACAGTTCCAGAGGAGTTAGCACTTCCTTTACCCGTGTGCAGAACATCTTTCTTCACCTTTTTAGTAGATAGTTCCTCTTTACCCTTAGAATTCTGGTTAGACAGCATCATTCTTCTCTCCTTCTGAAGCCTCTCCACAGTTTTCGAAAGGTCTTGTATTTCTCTTGCTTTTGCTGCCAGTTCCTCATTGAGCCTTACCAGCTTGGCTTTAGCATGAGCCTGTTCCACCTGGAATTCTATGGACTGGAAATCTTGATCATCTTTATCATTCTTCTTGAGTTCTAATTCAGCATTCTGATGTTTAAGAATGGCGATTTCAGCTTCAAGCTTTCTTACAGTGATCTGATGGGCTTCCTTAATGTCATCGAGTTCCTTTTCCAGTGCTTTAACCATGGAGTTGTCATGTTGGTTTGGGGGTACTTCCTTAGATTTGTAGGCAAGTAGCTGCTCCTGTTCTTCTAGTCTCTGTTCATATTGAATCTAAAGAAAAGAATCCATGTTATGCCAAACTACTGCTATTTCATTAGTTACCGAAGCTCTGAATTCAACAGGGCCTTACATGTTCCTTCATTCAGAAACTTAGTATTCACTGATACCTCCAACTCTTTGTGTTTCTTGGCTCAGTTAAATGTACTGGTTCTAATCTTTGAAGGGCATAGCTATTATATATTGTTGATAGGCTGCTTCATAAATACCACAAAATATATCTCATATACCTCCAACATTATTTTAAACCTAAAATAAAACTTATCATGTATTTTTGTCTATGCAAATTATGCTCATTGAGGATTATGGCAAAACTGGGGCACTGAGATCTTTGAGAAACAAATTTCACCCTTCTAACATCAATTTTGTAATTTCAAAGGGAGAGTCAGCTTTGTATTTTCATGTTGTTGTTAAGTGCCGTGGAGTCGGTTCTGACTCATAGCGACCCTGCACAGGGTTTCTGAGGCTGCAGATCTTTCTGGAAGCAGAAAGCCTCATCGTTCTCCTGCGGAACAGCTGGTAGTTTCGAACTGCCGACCTTGAGGTTAGCAGCCTGATTGATAACCACTACGTTACCAGAACTCCTGGAGCTTTATTATTATAAAACCAATAGCTCATAGTTTACTCTGTGGAGGAATGCACTGATAGTGCTTTTTCATTACTCAATGAATATATCTACTGAACTACAACTGCCTATTAGACACTATAGTAAGTTCTAGAGATGTAAAGACTCAATCCGGTCTTCAAATAGTCTGGTTAGGAGAGAGACATGGCAGGTGAAAAGAAGATAGGCTTATGAATGTGGTGAGTGGGTGCAGAGGGGCAGACACCCTGAGCATCTGGAGGCCTGAGTAAAGGCGGGAAGGCTGTACAGTGGTAGTGGTGCTGATGTGCTGGGGAATTAGTTCTGACTAGTAGCGACCCTATACAGGGCTTCCAAGGCTGTAAACCTTTGTGGGAGCAGAATGCCTCATCTTTCCCCCATGGGTCGATTCAAACTGCTGACCTTGCAGTTATCAGCCCAAATTGTAATCCACTATACTAGAGGTTGTTGCTGTTGTTAAGTACTGTGGAGTCGGTTCTGACTCATAGTGACCATGCATAGGATTTCCGAGGCTGTAAATCCTTACGGCAGCAGAAAGCCTCATCTTTCTCCCTTGGAACAGCTGGTAGTTTCAAACTGCCGGGCTTGAGGTTAGCAGTCCGATTCGTAACCATTAAGTTGATGCTTGAGGGGTGAGTGTAAATTTTGGGGTAAGTGGAGGCAGGCACATTTCATAAGTAGAAAGAACACCTGTGAAGCTTTGCTACTGCTTAGTGGGTCTGGGGAATCAAATGAGTAGTGGATGTCACAGACAATGAGTGGGAACAAATGAGAAGTAGGATGGAATGGGGCGGGGGTTACAAAAAAGGTGGGCAGATCTAAATATATAAAAAGGGGGTAAGAGAGTTCATGACTGACAGCCTCTATGTGGTCAGTGAAATATTAATAATGATCATAATTGTTAGAAATAATCATTTATTGAGTGCTTGGTAAACATTAGGCATGGTAATAAGTATAGGCTTGGCAAATACATGCTGCTACAATCCTCTCATTCCCCTGAGTTAGGGATTAACTAATTAACCTATTTACTGAGCATCTATTATGTGCCAGGCACTGTGCTAAATAACAGAATACAACAGTGAGCAAAAGCAGAACAGTCCCTGCCATCAGAGTCCAAGGTGAGACTGGGAGGGAAAGAGCACTGATGGTCCAATCAAAGTGTCTATGGATGTCTATAATAAATGAGGTAGCTGCTATGAAGGAGAGATGCATGAACTTGAGTGCCCACAGAGTTAATTCATCTACCGTGCAGTCCTGGAAGGTTTCACTGGGAAGCAGGGAATACTTATGTTGAGATCTGAAGGTTAGAAATACGTAACTATGTAAAAGGGGAGGACAAAGCCTACCTGTCAAATGCAAGAGTGTAGGGACACAAATTCCTGTGGCTGTAAGCAAAGTAGGCTAGTATGACTGCACAGAGGAAGTATGGTGAGAGAAAATGTGTGACAGACTATTTATTTATTGTAAGACTAAAGGAAAGTTACCAAGGTTGTACAAACAAAGGGATGTGCATGCGTACGTGGGAGATAAGAAAATCTAACTTTGTCTGCAGTGTCTTGGGTTGATTAGATGGGACAAACTGGATCTGTGTAGACAATTAAGTTACTGGAGTAATCCAGTACAGACAACTGCCAACAATCCAGGCCAAGTATGCAGTGTGATGTGGTGCTGAAAGACAGAAGGACTGACAGATACTGAGGAGTAGATGTGATATATTGGTGGTGGTGGTTGTTGTGAAGTGCTGTTGGTTCTGATTCATAATGATCCTGTATAGGGTTTCTGAGGAGCAGCTGGTGAGTTTGAACTGCTGATCGTTCGGTTCAAACTGACCTTGAGGTACCACACCAGAACTCCGACACAGTTACTATTGTCTCTCTTTTACACATGGGGGAAGTGAGGCTCAGAGATGTTAAATAACTAACCCAAAGTCATGAAGCCGTAATGATGGAACTGCATGTTGGTTTCACTCTAAAGTCTTGTCCTTTGCATTATGCTTGTTGTTGTTAAGTGCTGTCAAGTCAGTTCCAACTCATGGTGACCCTGTATAGGGGGATTCTGCGGAGCGGCTGCTGGGTTAGAGCCACTGATCTTTTGGTTAGTGGTCCAGTGCGTATCCTACAGTGCTGTAGATGTGGTGCTCTAGGATTTGCACTGGACCACAAAGTCAGTTTGAAACACAAGGCTTGAGGGTTCAAACCCACCAATCACTCTTTGGAAACCCTATACAGAGTTGCTATGAATCAGAAATGACTCAAAAGCACTTAACACAACAACAACAAATAAACATATACATAAATTTTTATTGGGATTTGGGTAAAAGCTTACAGGGCAGATTGGTTTTCCATTGAACAATTCATATACTTTGTTTTCATGACTTTGATGTACCATCTTCTTCAGAAAGGACAAAGGAACATGAGTGGAGGAGTAGAAAGCAGATAGGTGAATACAGGCCAACAGTGACAAAGTTATGGCAGGTTGAAAACTGAGTGAAAAGTTATGGCAGGTTGAACACTGGCGGGTTAAAGGACTATATCTTCCAGCTTAGGATGGTGGAAAAGTGAATTGGGAAATCTGAGAAAGAGGGTGGCTTTCTCTGCCATCTTATTACTTAATTGTTACTATTTCCAATTATTACTGAGAGTGTCTTATATAAAAGATTATTCTGTGTTTGATTATTCTATGTCTAATATCAAAAGCTGCTGAAGGAGGGCACAAAGATAGGATGGACCCAGGTTTCTTTTGCACATATTGCTATCTGTGGCTAAGGTTACATGGGAAACAATGTGTAGAGCTATTTGTTAAAATGAGGTAGAAGATTTTCCCTTCCTATCAATTTTAACAATTTGATTCATAACTGAGCCCCATCTCTTATATTTACCTTCATTTTCTGAAACTGTTGTTCCATGGTACGAAGGCTTTTCTTTGCTTCTTCATCTTTGCCCTCAAGATCAGCTTCTAGCTTTTTAATCCTTTTTTCCATGAATTCCACTGTATTTCTACTCACGGTATCACCAGCTGCTGATGCCGCCATTATTAAAGCAGGTAAAGAATTGGGATATCGTCTCTTTAGAATTCCTTCCATCTCTTTAACCTATTAAAAGTATTTTTGTATATGAACAAAGTCACAACTATATGTGACATTTCAATAGTTTAATGCATATGTTAAGGTTATATTACCTCAATCACATCTAGATTGTAAAGAAGTACACATTCATTTCTAAGTTTATATTCCTTATCAGTTAGGTGCTGTTGAGTTGGTTCCACCTCACAGTAACTGTATTTACAGCAGAATTAAACAATGCTCAGTCCTGCGTCACTGCTAGGTTTGAGCCCACTGTTGCAATTCCAGCGTGGTCCTCTTTTTCACTGACCCTCTCTCTATTTTACCAAGTACGATGTCCTTCTCTAGGGACTAATCCCTCCTGATAACATGCCCAAAGTAAGTAAAATGAAGTCTCATCTAGATTACCTACTTAATAGTACCCTATAGGCTACAATTAACGGTGGGCTACTTTACAGAAATTCCCTGCTTTCACTTGTAATAAATTTTGGGACTTTCTATTTCAAATAATAACCCATCTTCTTTCCCCCCACAGATCCTTCATTTAATAATATTTATACTGGTTAATAATACTTACAGCGTAGTGGTTACGAAGCGGGCTGCGAACCACAAAATCTTCTGCTCCCATAAAGATTTACAGCCTCGGAAATCCTGTTCAGGGTTGTTATGGGTTGGAACCGACTTGATGGCACACAACAACAACAACAACAATACTGGTGTGGCGCTGTTGGTTAATGTGCCAGACTGCAAAGTCATTTGAACTGCAAGGTTGGTGGTTCAAGTTTACCAGCTGCTCCTTGGAAACCCTTTACAGGGCCACTATAGGTCGGAACCGACTCAACGGCACTTCACAACAACTAATAATGATTGAAAATTACTTCTGTGCCCATAAATCTGAAGACATTTTATAATAAATGTGCAGCTTCCAAAGCACCAGCACCTGTCTATAACAATCCCCACCTATCTTCCAAAAGAAGTGCAATCTATTGTTAAAAGACTTCAATTGAGAAGAAAGGCGGATTAGATATTTAATGAACTCTTCATAAAAGCTAAATAATACTTTTCATTTAGTCTGTAAAATAATGACATATGCTTATAGTCTTTGTGTTATAAGAAAGACATGCACCCAAAACCCACAGTCCACAGGAATTGGAGTTTGTATACATGTTGACTTTTATTATGGTTTGGTCTCAAAAATGACCTTTTTCCAAGGCAAGATGGATTGCTTGTACTTAAACTGTTGTTTAAGATTGAACAGTATTCATCTGACATATTTTTTAAATTAACAGTAAATAAAGGCAGTGCCCACGTTATGACTGAGATCAATTCCTAAGTGTGTCTTTAAGTCGAATTGTGGGTACGTTGAGACAGATGCATATAGTTTTTACTTAGCTTTTACTTTAGTGCAAGAACAGGTTTGACACCTCGTCAATGATATAAAAGCCGCACATGAAGCCAGGGAAGCTGATTTTGATAAAGAATTTGTTGTGAGCCAGGAGTTGGTTCAAGGAGCCCTTTTGGTACAGTGGGTTAAGTGCTGAGTTGCTAACCATTTGTCGGCTGTTGATATCCAGAAGGGAGAAAGATGGACTGTAAATGTTTACAGTCTTAGAAACCCTAGTGGCAGTTCTACTGTGTCCTATAGGGTTGCTAGGGGTCAGAACTGACACGATTGCAGTGGGGCAGGAGTTAGTTCCATTGATTCAAAGTGAAGGCAAAACGTTCGTAAGCCGGGGACTGCTTGTATTTCCATTCCTAAAGATTGCTTGTACATTTATAGATGTGCTATATGTTGGAATATATACAGATACTAATAATTTATTTTATCTGAAGCTTTTTGAAAGCTTTGTTTCCTCTGTCATCGAAAACTTTGTTATGAGACAGTTTCTAACATGTTAAGGTATAGATATACACACACAAACACACATACATTAAAGATAACTAGATTTTTTAAAATGAATTCATTAAGAATATTTTACACTTAATGCATCCATTTAAAAATTAGTTTCAATCTAATTTTGATATTTTGAGACTTTAAAAATTAGATTTATCTGTATCTTCTTTAATTTTTTCAACTCTCCTTAGAAACTAATATGAACTATTTCTTTAAAGTATGAACAAATGTACATAATCTGAAATTTTCATTTTCACATTCATCTCATTAGCCCCATTTCCACTTATATTCCATTAGCAAAGGTGATCCGTTTTTGCCTACAGTTAATCTGTTATTACAGAATATGGTTCCAGTATGATTGTAAAGATCTAAGATATCTTGATTATAAAGTATATTTTAAGGTTTAAAATTAGTCATAATAGAAATACTCGTGGAAGCAGAATTAATAAGATCTGGAACACACACATGTATCAAAACATGCAATTATGCAAATTCTATAAACAATGAATAATACTTTAGAAAGATACAATCTAAGATGATTAATCAATAAATGTTTAAATGTTTTCTAAGGTTAATAAAAGAGGGAGGCTACTTTTATAAATGTTCCATTTTGGGGCAAATTTTGTATTTTGTATTATCATTTTTAGTCTTAATTTTGCTATTAAACACGCTTTACTTTTTACTCTCTTACAATCAGGTTTTCACTCTTTCTCTGAAAATAAAGTCATCTAATGGGGGAAGTTGCCCCTTTGGCCTGTACTTTCTAGCAGTTCTGAATGGCTTATCCTACACTGGCTAATCTAACTCTTAAGCATTAAAAAAAGCCAAGCAATTGTGAACTACCCTAACTTCAAAATACTTGTAGTTCTTTAAAGCCACCTTTAGCTGTTTTTTCTTGGTCACTGAACCAAATTACCAAATCATACCTTTTAATATAAGAACAGGTCCTATAAAAGTAACAACTGTTTTGCTTAGTTTTTCTTCTGCTTATAAACTAGGCTAATAGACCAATGATGACCTCACAGTTTGGGGTGTGTGATGAAATAACAGCAGTCCTTCTAAGAGTCATAATTTGACTCTAGAATCATGCTCCCTTATGAAAAGAATTGGAATTTTTTAAACTATGAATACCAATACTACCTTACAGAAAGTTTGAAAAACAAAAGAAAAAAGTTAATTATAATTGCACCCCCTCAAAACAACTACCTTAATGAAAAATATATTTAGGCTAATAAGCTTCAGTATGTGATTTTAGAAAAAGGTCTACTCTCATTGGCCATGAAATGACTAGTTCTAATTCTGAACAAAGAAAAATTTAATTTGGGATTTATAGGTCAGTTCTCTGGGAGGTGGAAAGTTCTATAACATTTCCCATCCCTTACCAATATCTTCCCATCTCAAGGATCTCATTTCTGGTACTCCTCTCTCACTGAATCTTTGATCAGGAGAAGGACTCCTGCCTCTATAGCCAAAGCTTCAAAATTTGGCTTTCCACTTTCTAGATGTCTAACTGAGCTGCATTCCACAATCTTATTTCATGAATAAGTCAACCATTTTATATAAGAGACACATTAGTGTAAAAATTCTTTACTTATAAAGATGTAGTTTAAATGATTTTGTTTACTACATTTATTAATGCTACTTTAAATACTGTATGTGCTGTTGTTATGTACTGTCGAGTTGATTCCAACTCACAGAGACCCTAAGGTTTCCAGAGTAGCTGATGGGTTTGAACTGCCGACCTTGTGGTTCATAGTCCAGTGTTGATCCCTCAGTATCACACCACGAGTCCCAAATACTATCTATCAAGTATATATAAGAAAGGAGCAGTTATATATTAAAATCCACGAATAAAAAAAAGAATGTCTAGGCTGTCAACATCTTACTAGAATCCATGAGAAAGTAAAAATGTACTATATACAAACTTAATAAAAAAATTATTCTTAACACATACTTGTCTTTGTAGATCCTGAATTTTTTTGGCATCAGCTGCTCTGTCTTTTAAACGTATTTTCTGCTGAAGAGATGGATTTCCTGATTCCGTTTTCAGTTTCTCAACCTGTTGATGAATACAGAGCACGTTAAGAAGCGTATCTAAGACAGAGCAGAGAAGCACAGGTGGTGGGCAGCCTAATGTTGACTGACTCATGTCTTAATTCTTCAACATTCATTCATTGAGCTCCTATTGTGTCCTAGAGTCCTGGTGTGGCACTGTATGATAAGCACTGGACTACAGTTCAAATCTTTAGAAACACTAGACAGGGTCACTCTGAGTTGGAATCAACTTGATGGCACTAACAACAACATTGTGTGCTAGGCACTTCCCAGATCTAGCACTGTGATGAAGATATGGAGGACAAACTAGGGACCTGTTATCATACCATTGATGCTGTAATGGAGGGACACAGCTAAGACGCTAATAACTGAATCAATAAGCAAATAAAATAACTCAGAATGGTAAGCATTATGACAAAAATAAAACAGAGTGAAGGAATAGGAAGAAGGAGCTGGAAGGGGTGGGACTGGCAGCTACGTTAGAGATGCTGGACAGGAAAACCTTTCTGAGGAGAAGAAATTTGAGCTGAACTTGAACAAGGAGGAGGAGTGAAACAGTTAAGAAACAAGACCACAATGTTCTAGGCCATGAGAATAAGTGCAAGGGGGCTGCATGTTCAAGAATCAGAGGGAAGTTTGGTGTGGTTGGAGGAGATTACATTAGGAAGAGTGTGGTATCAGAGTGGGTTGGAGGGGCAGGTAGAGTTCAGAACATATAGGGGCCTAACCAGATAGGTTGAGATATGAAGCTTGGATTTATTCTTAATCTAATCTAAAATATATGATATATTTAAAAGTAAACCAAACCCAAATCAGGTATTGTACTACAGTATAAACTATGAAAGCTGGAACCCATGGAAGACAGAAAAGAAAACTCAAATATTTTCCACTGAACAAAGAGTGGTAAGACTACACCCTGTTAAAGGTGGAAAACTTTCGAGACAAGAATAACAAGGCAGTCTTGTCGTGTAGTTCTGGCTCTTACGGGTTTCACTGCAGGTGAGACTTTACAATATTAATGCAATGGTGCTTACAAAGCAATGCAAAATTAATAAATGAGGATAATATGGTTCATTTACAGATACAGATTCTGAAAGAAAATACCTCAAGTTTGAGTTTTTCAATCTCTTCATTTGCTTCTTTAAGTCGTGCTGCGTCTTTATCTAGAAGTTCCTGATTTTCAGCATACCACTGTAATCTTTTTTGTAGACGACTGATTTCTTGTTTATGTGTTTCTTCTAAAATTTTTATTTCATATAATTTTTCACCTGTGAGATTAAGTAACTCAACAACCTGATTGTGACTTTTCACAGTATGGAAAGAAACTAAATTGTAAGATCCTATATGTAACATTATGAAAAAAAAAGAGGCATGAAGCAACTGCTGTATAAAATACAGTATCTAATTTACTACTAAATAAAGCAAGATAGTGTCTTCATACTCCAATTTTCAGCAAAGTTGGTTTAAAGAAAATTTAAATACTTTTTTCCCACCAATGTTATTATAAAAGATATTTTCATAAGAAATGCTGACTCCAAGAAATATAAAAATAGAATGCCTATTAACATATATTAAAAAGTAACAATGGCAAATATTAGTGAATGTTTAAGAATGCTTAATAGGTACTAATTTATTCAACACAAATTATATAATGGATACTATTATAATTCTATTTTATAAATGATGAAATTAAATATCATTATCTTACAAACAATAGATTTAATTATATCTCTTACATTGATAAATTCATTATATTGATGAAAGATCCTAACTTTGGAAAACAATGCCTCTTGCGATCCACCTTTGTAGCCCTGTGTTCTACCATGCTAAGCTCCAACCTACATGCTCACTCAACATGATCTTGGGGCACACCTGATCAACCTCCCTCCATTCCTTCATTTTCAGATCTTAACATCTGTCAAGGCCTAACTCAAAAGTCACTCCATCCTTGAAACCTTTAGTTAGTATCCCGTCTTTATCTCATTTTTGTCTATAATTTTTTCTTATATTAAAAGTATCTGCCTTGTTGTCTCATTCCCCATGTTGTTTATGCTGGCAGAGACCAGGCCATCTTTTTCTTGGTGTTCTCTTGCTATTGTTCATTCAGCAGACACTTCAGATCAGAGCCTACAACATTTCAGACTCACGGGTAAAGAGACAGATCTCGCTCCCCTGAAAAGACAGCATCTAACTGGGACGAAGCCATGTAAATAGCTACACATAAAGATCTCATGAATCCAAAGTAATCTTTGGCCATGTAGTATTTCCTGCTAAAACCAATGAATGTACATATTTTCGAATTACTTGATTTTCAAAAAATGTTTTGAAGATGATAATATAGGTCGAGGAAAAGTATTTAGTTTCTGTTCAAGATTAGCACAGTTAAAGAGTATAAATGTAAACTGTTCAAGCTCTCTGTTTTACCTGCAGCATAAACAATCTGATCTTTGGCTTGGTCTCTCTCTTTCTTCATCTTTTCCAAGTCAACTTCAAGAGCTTGCTTATCTTGCTTCAGTCTTTTAATGTTTTCTGTTAAACTGGTTTTTTCTTTCTTGAAAATCAAAGAAAAAAAAAATTATTTCTAATCACAAAGTGTGGTTACAGTCTTTCTGAGTTCATCCAATTTATCATAATACTGCTACTAAATATTCTTCTTGAATTTTAGCTGATTTTATTACTGTAATACCCCCCACCCCCAGAATCACTAATAGTGCCCCATCATAAATTATTAAAATCAGTTCTAATCATCTTATTTGGCACAACATTAAAGACTTTCTTTTTTCTGCTTTAGTATAGGGTTTACAAGACTAAACATTTGCAGAAGCACAAAGCCTCATTTTTCTCACAAGCAGCAGCTGGTACATTTGAACTGCTGACCTTGCGATTAGCAGCCCAACTTGTAGTTGGATTAGTTGACTCAATAATTCTGTTGCCTATATTTCTATTAACTAGTGTGACCTAATGAACTTCTCACCCTCAGCACCTACAGTCTATTTTCATAGTAACCTGAGGAAATGCTTTGATGGTGGTAGTGTGCTATGGAGTCGGTTCTGACTCATAGTGACCCTGCATAAGGTTTCTGACGATCCTGCATAAGGTTTCTGACGATCCTGCATAAGGTTTCTGAGGCTGTAAATCTTTACGGGAGCAGAAAGTCTCATCTTTCTCCTACGGAACAGCTGGTAGTTTCAAATTGCTGACCCTGAGGTTAGCAGCCTGATTCATAACTACTACGCTACCAGAACTCCTTGAGGAAATGCTTTAGAGTTAGTTAATATCACTCTTCTTTTTTTTTTTAATGCTTTATTGTGAATTACATGATAGTTTACATGGGAGAACATTAGCTTTACATTCATCCTATCGTATATCATTTCATTGCCATGGTTACAATCCCCTCCATGCATCATCAGACAACCAAAGGGTACACCTCGCAAGTCTGCAACCCAGCCATCAGCACATAGCTGAGTCTTAAGTTCCCGGCCGCTCCATCTCTCCATGTCATCACCTCCGCTTCCATCTCTGGCGTCAGTGTTTCTCTGGGTAGGGTCCCGCTCTCTGCTCTTCTCCCTTGGTGGTCCCAGGGACCTCCGCTTCTAGACTGAAAAGTTAATCACTCCCCTCCTTTTGCTACAAAATGTCTACCTCTACATTCCCAACCCTCACAATCAGTCCTGATAACAATTTTCACCATTGTATCACAAGAGACACATCTGAATTGCCTTTCATCAGACCCGCCTAGACAGAATGGATACTACTCACTGGAGATTCTACCTTCCACCACCCCCTCTGGATCTAGGTTCCCTCTTGAAAGCCAGTCACTTCTTGCCTTTGTAGCACACCCCCCCCCCCCCCAACTTGGGTAGCCAATGTCCAAGTTGCCCATCTCTGTCTCCTCTGTGTATGGAGGGGGTGGGAATGATCCTTGCTGTAAAGATTTGTTCCCTCTTTTGAGCTACTGCATCCATAGGTGTAGGTCAAGTTCATCAAATGTATCAGATTACTCTTTTTTTCCTCTTCTTTCTTTTCTAGTTGAGCTCTGATGACCTAGTCATTGAAGCCAGGTCAAGTGGGTATTATCTGCCAGTGTGGGTGTTCTTATGCATATGCCCTCTCTTCTTATCAGCTGATCGCTTCACTCTCCACTCTAGTCCTCTGTGGCTATGTCACTGACTCTGGGCCCAAGAGTCCCCAGGTCTTGTTACACTGCTGGCCAAGCAGGTCTCCACCTGGGCTCGCAGGAGTCTACTGAACGTTGTAGGGCTTAGCTAGCAGCTTCATTGCTGTTTTCCCCTTGTCAGTTACGAACGTATCACTCTTCTTTTTGAAACTCTGACAGCACCCCATCTCTCTCAAAATAAAACCCAATGAATGTGTCTGTAGAACCTGGCCCTTGCCCACCCCTCTGACGGCATCTACTACAAATCTTCTCTCCTCTTTCAACATAGTCACACAGGTCTCCTTATGGTTCTTTGAACATTATAAATACATTGTTACTCCAAGGTGTTTGTACTTCCTGTCTCTTCTGTCTGCAGTGCTTGGCCCCATATAGTTGCTTCACTTCATCACTGAGCCCAGGAAGATCTTTCCTGACCACCATAGACCACACCCCATGCTGGAACCCAGTAACAGTGTTTCATTTTCTTCTCACAGCACTCTTCACCACCTGACATATTATATATTGACTTGAAAAAAAAGACTTTACTTTACTAATCCTTGAATCAAAATATGCATAAAAATATGCCTGGCAGATAAAAATATGTTAAGTAAATGAATTCTCAAAATGCCTGCATTCCCTATTATTCTCAAAACTTAGTTATCCTTCAAAGTTTAGTTCAAGGCTATTCCTGATCACCCCTTCCTCTGTGTGCCCACAAAACTTTTTTTACTATACCTCTAGTATAGCACTGACTACTTTCTGATTTGTTTGCATGCCTGTTTTCTTTGTTTGCTGAAAGCTCTGTGGAGGCATAGATTGGGATTTATAACTATCTGTTTACTTTATGGCACTAAACACAAGGCAGGTACTCAATAGATGTATGCTCAATTAACCCCCTAACTGCTGAAGAAATTCTTGGGCTCATGACATTACACTTGGTTTAGTTAGTTTCACAATAATAGAAATTCTTACACATTCAGTATGCCTTCTGTTGTTGTTGGGTGCCATTGAGTCGGTACCAACTCATAGCGACCCTATGTACAACAGAACAAAACAGTGCCTAGTCCTGGGCCAACCTTACAATTGTTGCCACTCTTGAGTGCATCTAGCAGTTTAAAATTGAATCTGAAAATGAAAATAATTCATTCATAAGGCATCATGTAATCTTTGTTTCTGGCTGCATCACAGATAGAACTACATTATTTTTTAATGCTTAATTCTCTGTGATCTTGTATAGATCTCTATTAAGGAGAGCAGCAAGTTTACTTTTTTGAATGTTCAAGTATCTTTCTGAAAATATCCGTATCTCTTGTTTCATTAGGCCAATCAATTTCAGGGTGCTTCCTAGTAATGGCAATTGCATGGCATTATAGAATTTTAGAACTGAAAGAACATTTAACATCTAGAGTTCAATCACCAAGGAACGCTTTAAATGGGTGATCATTCATGCCTGCCTATCTCCAGGGGCAGCCATCCCCTGCTAAGAAATGCCTCACATGAATTCTGTGGGTTTCAGGGTTTGGGGACTGGAAAGTACTGTCCCTCTCCTTGTAAAAGTTACTGTATAGACTTTCAGAGAGGATCTCTGCTTCATTCTCTGACCTTGTATTTTACCATTCTCAACTAGCCTCAGAACCCTCTGATTCTGCAAGGTTCTGCCTTAGGCTTTTGCTCTTCCTACTGGCTGGAAGGCTTTATCTTTGAATGGTTGAGAGTTTCCCTGACAACAATATGGATGGCTGCCTACATTCCTCACTATCATATTCTTTAGATTTTCTTCAAATCACTGTAAATATTCTATTTGTTTTCTTATTGTTTGCCTTTCCCAACAGGATATACATTGTTAGTTAGCAAGGTGCACATCTGTCTTATTTACTTACTCTATGTCCAGTGCTTGGATGACTGCTTACCACACTGTAAGTGCTTGATAAAGGTTGACTAAGTACACAGCAGTAAGCCCCTTTCTCCTCCCCACTCTGATACAAACAGCAAATACATTGGGACTTTAGCTTTTATTATGTTTCCAGCCATAGTTTGTAAAGAAACCATGTGATATTGTAATATGCTAGTGGTGGTGGTGATGTTGAGTTGGGTTTGACTCATAGTGATCCTGAGGCAGTAAATCTTTATAGGAGCCAAAAGTCTCTTCTTCCTCAGAGCCGCTGGTACATTCAAACTGTTTACCTTGCAGTTAGCAGCCCAAGGCATAACCACTACATAATCAGTGCCACTGAGTGGTTCCAACTCATAGTGACCCTCTATAGGGTTTCCAAGAAGAATCTGGTGGGTTTGAATAGTCGACCTTGTGGTTCACAGTCTAGCACAAATTAGATAATATATATATAAGTCTACTTGATATGAATATTATCATTACAGATTTATCCCAGAAAGGCTAACTGTTACTGTTGTTCTTAGGTTCTGTTAAGTTGGTTCTGACCTATAGTAACCTGAGAATGTAACATGGTCAGGTCCTGAGCTACCCTCAGAACTGTTATGTTTGAGCCCATTATTGCTGCAACTGTGTCAATCCATCTTATTGGGGGTGGGGGTGGGGGGTCTTCTTACTGGCTGATCCTCCACTTTTCCAAACATGATGTTCTTCAGGGACTGGTCTCTCCTGATAATATATCCAAAATATGAGCAAATAAGTCTCGTCATCCTGGCTTCTAAGGAGCATTCTGGCTGTACTTTCTCCCATACAGATTTGTTTGTTTTTCTGGCAGTCCACGGTACTTTCAAAATTCTTTGTCAACACCATAAATTCAACAAATGCATCAATTCTTCAGTCATCTTCCTTATTCACTGCCCAACTTTTACACGCATATGATGCGTGCTGTAAACTACCTAAACTCAATATACCAAAGTAAATGAAAAGTCCTTTGTGGCACACTATAGGATAAGCACTGGACTGTTAACCACAAGGTCAGTGGTTCAAACCCAGAAGCCACTCTTTGGAAACCCTATACAGGGTCACTATGAGTCAGAACTTGATGACACTTAACAACCACACTCCATTTTTCAGTATTTACACATACAAATCTCCAAATCATTTTATTATTTTTAAACTACTTTTCTTTTTTAGGATTTAAGATGCTTTTCTGTCTTTAGTAGTTTCACCATGATGAAACGAGTATTTTACTTCTTTATCTTGATAGCTCAGGACCTCTGTGCTTCCTGAGTCTGAGAATTCATCTCTTTGATCACTTTTAGAAAGTTCTCAGTTGTTATCTTTGAAAATATTTAAGTATCACAGTGCTTCCTATTTCTTACTATTTTTAATATTTCTCATTTCTCTTACTTTTGTGTTTCTCACTAAGTTCCTTAGATCTATCTTCCAGTTTTTTCTTATTTGCGTATAACTGTTTAATATTTTTACTATTTTTAATTTGTAGAAT